AGCCGGAGCGGGAGAAGGAGGTGTGGAACAGTGCAGGAATGGCTGTGAAATACCAGCCAAGTGGTTTATTCCTATTGCTGGCATTATTTAAAATAGCTGTAATGCAGAAGTGCTGCAGGGTGTCCTGAAAGTTGTGATTTGTGCTTGCGTGTTACTTGATTAATCACAAGTCTTGTTCTCACTTTCCTTGTAGTTCATCTGAAACTGGATGAAATAAGAGAATGGATATGGGTAACCAACACCCATCCATAAAACGGTTGCATGAGATACAGAAAGAAGTCAAAGAGATTGAACAGCAAGTGGTTGTCTTCAGCGGTCTGTCTACTGATCAAGATTACAAGAAATTAGAAAGGAGTCTGACTAAACAGCTTTTTGAAATAGATTCTGTAGACACCGAAGGAAAGGGGGATATTCAGCAAGCCAGAAAGCGAGCTGCTCAGGAGACAGAGAGGCTGCTTAAGGAACTGGAACAAAATGCAAACCATCCTCGCAGACTGGAAATAGAGGCTATATTCAAGGAGGCACAGTCGCTTGTGGAACGCCAGATTACACCTTTTTACAAAGGAGGTAACTGTATAAGTGACGAATTTGAAGAAGGCATTCAGGACATTGTATTGAGGCTTACCCAGGTGAAAACTGGAGGGAAAGTTTCTCTACGCAAAGCAAGATACCGCACTCTGACAAAAGTATGTGCTGTTCAGGAGATTATAGAAAGCTGCGTAAAGCAACAGCTGTCCCTGCCGCTCTCTAATGATGCACATCCTTCTGTCTCCAAAATTAACTCTGTAATGTGTGATGTGAACAAAGCAAGAGGAACTCTTATTGCGCTTCTAATGGGAGTGAGTAGTAATGATACCTGCAGGCATCTATCCTGTGTGCTTACGGGCCTCATCGCTGATTTGGATGCTTTAGATGTCTGTGGTCACACGGAAATAAGAAATTACAGAAAGGAAGTAGTGGAAGAGATCAATAAATTGCAGAAATACCTGGACTTGGACGAGGAAGCAAATTCTACTCATGCTTATGATTTGGCACAGAATCAGTCCATTCTAAAAATAGAAGAGATCCGCAAGAAAATGAAGGAAGTTAATTCTTTACTTTTGAAAACAGAGAATGCTTCTGATTTGTATCTGGGATCCAAAGCAGAATTGCAGGGATTAATTGCCCACTTGGATGAGGTGAGTCCAGGAAAAAACCCCTGTATTAGAGAAGCCAGGAGAAGAGCAGTAATAGAAATTCAAGCTCTAATAACGTATATTGATTTGAAGGAAGCGCTTGAAAAAAGGCAAATGTATGCTGAGCAAACTGCTGCCGAACATCAGTCTCATAAAGCAGTTTGGACTGTTCTTGGAAACTTGTCTCAAATTCAGCAGATTCATTCGATGGAAACAGAACGGATAAAAATTACATGAGGTTGGAAGAACTTCTTACGAAGCAACTTTTAGCACTTGATGCTGTTGATCCACAGGGTGACGAGCGGTGTAAGGCTGCCAGAAAGCAAGCGGTGAAGCTTGCGCAGAATATTCTCTACTACCTGGACATGAAAACAGATGAGTGGGAATACTGAAACAGCCATGGCCTAACATAGAAGAACATTTTCTTTCCTTTGGCACTTTATGCAGATCATTGGCAGCACATAAAAAAAGTGGTGTGTTCTGTGCTCAGATCACAGAGATTGCATAAGCAGTTGACTTGGCTATATGTCTGCTATCCCACGCAGTCACCCACTTGCCATGGCAACTGTCAGTATACCATCAGCAATTCTGGTCATTGCTGTAAGCAAAGAAATGTGATTCTCTGAAGGAATAGCTTAATACTTGATCAAATGGCTTCTTTTTTCTTTTTTTTTTTCTCTTCTCCTGTTTTTGTTTCAATGACCTTGTGCAATGTTCAGCGAACACGGATTTTTCAAAGATGCAGAAACTTCCTTATGGCACAGCACTGGCAAAACTATTTAAAGCAGACTGGACATGAAAATGAGTACTCAAGCGTGAGGCTTCATCCAGCAACTTCATAGCAGTCTGGATATACTCCTAATTTGCTGTTACAACAGAAAGTATTAAGGGCAAAAAAACCTGCTGGCTTTTGGACTGTACTGGATTTATTCCATCCCTCACACCTTTCTGGGTGTTTAGATTTCTCAGTTAATGGAGCTATAATGCCAACTGCAAGTTAGTATTTACATAGACAAAGCCAACTATGTCTGTTTTTTGTAATACCTGAGCCCTCTGATTTGCAAATACAGGTATTTTGTTGGTGGAAGCTCTTTCAAATTATTGCTTTGAGATACCAAGACTTGGAGAGGAAAATCTCTACATGTATACTGACCAGATAAATGGGATTTTGAGGATTTCACACTGCCATCCATAAACCCCTGAAAATGACACTGAACTTTTAGTGCCTGCTCAGGTGTCTTTGTAAACGCTGCTGTTAGATCTGGTTTTGACTTGTCTTTTCACTTTCAGTCAAAACAGAAACAGAATTCATTTGGAAGTGAACAAGCATTTTGGAATTATTTTTGTAAAATTAGATAGCTAGCTATGAAGATGTCCCTAATGCAAATGTGTATTACATTTTTCATACTGGTCAGCTGTGGCTTCAAGCAAGTCTTGGAAAAGACTTGTGGCAAATGTCTCTCCTTGCAGCTCATCACTTAACTGTTCTGGTAACTTCGTAAATAAGCTTGCTTGTACTATTGTATGTACCTACCTTTTTATTTGTGGCTGCTAGTGCCAATCACATTTCTACTATAGCATGGTTTCTGGCATTTTTTTTGAGAGCATGGCATCAAAATGAATTAATTATAAAGATATTTAATTATGGATACTTTGCACTTAGCTCTTTTGTGTTGACTTAATGATTTATTGTTCTATAGATGATGATTTGCACCACTTTAAGGAGTAAAAACCATTTCAGATATTAAAATAAATATTTTTAGATCTATTTTTGACTGATTAGAGAAGACAGTACTGTCTGTGAGAGACAAGTGCCTTTATGACACCACTGACTTGCACCGTCATATGTAGGTATAGGAACTGTTTACTGGCAGCTCAATGCATTTGTAATCTTTGCAAACTGGATTTCTCACATATATATAATTCTGGTACAATATATGTCAAATTAACAGAATTCAATAGGTGACAGTTGTTCTGTAGAGTCCCGAGAATGAGCATCAAGTTTGGGAAATACGGATTCTGTTTAAAAACAAATGCGTTGATGTAGAGATGGAGGACTTTGGGCAGGTCTTCTGTGCCTGTTGTTACAAGAAGGAGAGAATACGTTTGCTCCTTAACACGCTTTGAGGTGTTGATGAAAGGCTGTGTAACTTCAGAGCGCGAATATATTTTGTTTTGTGATTGTACAGGTGATTGCTTTGCAATTTTACTTGCTGAAAACAGTCTATTTTTTCAACTGAGTACAGTGCCTAAGGCACAATTTGGCAATGACAGAATGTTTGTTGGAGGATTCTCTCTGTTCCTCCAGAGAGAGGAGGAGCAGAGGGAATCCTTACCTCAAAAAATATTTCCCCTAGTTAAAATTCCAGTCTACATTTATATATTATGTGGCTAACACAGAGTGTTAATAGTTATATACCTGAATTATTTTACTCATTTCAAGCTTTCTAATGTTTGAACTGCAACTTCTGATTTGCACTTAGATTTTTAGGAAATATAAGAATTTGATAATAAATATATTGTTAATTTTTCTTTAGTAGTACTGTCAGGTCTGCAGTGATTACTTGTTGAATGTTAACAACTTAGTGTTCATGTTCTTTGGAGGTTACGTGTAGCTTTATAAATGTTTGAACCTCTTATGTAAAAATGAGTAAGTATAGTTTTCAGATCTGCTCTGTTTTAAATTTGGGTGTCTTTTAGCTTTTCCGAATGAGTTGTTACACCCATGCCTCTAAGGAGGCAGATGTATAAGACAAGTGTAATTTTGAATAACTGAGTAGAGCTCAATAGCAAGATATTACGTGATTTAAGCTTTTTTTCCATTGTTCTGTAATATAATAAATTGACTATTTACATTTTATGGTAAAATCCTCATCTGGAATGGGATTCATTCACAGTTTTTGCATGAGTGAAAATAAACTAAATATGCTTAACCAAAAAAGTAACGCACAGATTTCTCAAAATCTTGCTTTTGTGCTGAAGAATGTAATTTATCTGTTTTTTATATCCAAAGATTGAGGGGGACACAACTTTTCCTTTCTGATAGGGCAGGTTGAAATAATGAGGAAAATGTAAATGGACCAAATTGCAAAAGCCTGCCTTTTAGTACTCTGCTGACATACAGTTTTTCTGTGTGCTGGGTGATCTACCTTAGAGCAAAATAAATGATTGGATGTTTGGGGGAGAGGTAATCAAACATTGTAATTCCTACTTGTTAATTTAATTTCTTTTAAAATTAATTTTCTTTATTTATTTTACTGTTTATATTTTTGTTGTTTACCACTCAAAGTGGTTTTTCTCTGTTGCCAGTTTGGAGAAGACTTTTTTTAAGTATGGTTCCTACTTTTTCAATTTAACAGAAATTAGTGCACGTGCTCCTTATGGTGTATATGTCTTGATTTATTGCTGTGTAGGATACGGCATTTGTATATACAAATTCAAGATTAAATATTGCAGTGTTATAGTCTTTATTATTAATAAAAATACATTACTACCTTTTACTAGGAATTCATTTGAATGTTATGCCCTGCTGCCTTTCTCTGTTTATTTTTGAATGTGAGTTATGAGAATGTAAATTAATTCTGTCTTATAAAAAGTGTTTTTATTAAACATAGAGACATAAAGCGCTTTTTTCCCCTCCCTTCTCTAAAAGTTTGCTTTTTCACTGCTGTATTTATGACAATAAAGTTCTTTGCGTGGAAACCACTCCTACCTCTACTTGCTAAATCTGCTGCCTTTTGGTTTTCTCTGCGTTCAGTGCGAGCTTTGCATACGCCTGGGCTTCAGCTGGATGATCACTGCAAAAATCATTGTGGCTGTTTAAGATCTTGCTGCTTTTCTGTTGAAGGATGCTGCCTTCACACGAGCTTGCAGAACTGGTGGGATGCAGCCTCTTCATGTGCAAAGTCAACACGGATTAAAGAACCTTTAGTAGGAGTTTAGCTAATCTGGTTTTAAACTGTGTAGATGAGGCATGTTCACATTATTGTTCTGGTGGCTCAGTATGTTTTCTCACGACGCAGTGAGCCAAGTTACCAGCTCACTGATGATGGAAATCGGAAATTCTATTTCTGCCCAGAAAGCTGCTGGGTTTGTGTGGTTTCTGCTACTTGGCCAACTCCTATGAGCTGATTTAATCCAATAAAGATGGAGAAAACAAACTTAACAAAAATGGAGGAGGGAATTTTCAGTGGATTTAGTGAGTCAAAGTGGCTTGTAGAAAGGCACGTGGGCCAGAGCTACTGCAAAATGAACGGGTGGGTCATGTGGCCATGGGTTAGAGAGCAAGTTTTTAAGTTTTTTGGTAGCAGTAAGTCATTAATCAACTTTCTGCACAGTTACATTTCTGGAGGAGAAAGAAGGAGAGAAGGTGACACTACTCATTCCTGCAGACAAGTAGAAATTTGCTGCTTTAGTTCTGGGGTATGATGAAGGCAATACAAATGAATCGTGTATGGAAGATAAACCAGTTGCTTTCAATTGCTCTTTTGTGTTCATGCAATAAAAAGCACAAGTGGACATGTCTAAGTACTGCACACAATCTGGAAAAGCCTTACCCAGAAAACATCAGATAAGAATAAGGTTTATAGAGGTTGAATGTTTGTATAGGTAAACAAGTTCCCTGTCTCTTCTTTTTCTCCTTTTTAACCATATAGCTTATTTGAAGGAAATATATTCTTCAAAGGCCAGTAAGTCATCTGGGCAATGGCCCCAGATGTTGCTCAGCTAGCTGCTGGCCTGATTGTCTTGGTCAGGTGTTTACTTGTCAAAGGATTGAATTTGCCTTGCTGAGACTTCATGTGTGTGTGTATGGGACAGGCAGATTTTTGTGCCTGAAATGGTTTAACTGGAAAAACTGTGTTTTATTTCCATAGAGAATTTGCCTTGCTGAGACTTTGTGTGTGTGTGTGTGTTTGGGACAGGCAGATTTTTGTGCCTGAAATGATTTAACTGGAAAAACTGTGTTTTATTTCCATATAGGCGTATCCTCCTTTGGAGAATTCTCAGATGAGAACTTGAAAGAGTAGCAGGACTTCAGTATGGAACTCATGGACAAGTGGGTTTAAGCTGGCTGCCAGGAGGAGACATTTACATGGCAGGATCTGGGAAAACGTTCCTGCTAGAGGAAACTGCTAGCAGACACACAGCTAAATGTTCAGATGATATTTTGAGCAAGCTCTGTGCTTGTTGCCTTGTTGCTTGTGGGCTTTCATTAAGAAAGTGGATTATTGAGGGAATATTCCCCGAATAGTCAGGCTTTTTTTTTAGATCAAACAGAAATTATGTTTAAAGCTTTTGCTGAGCCACAGTAGGGCACGTACTAGATGTTGACTAGTCTGGATATCATTCTGTTTTGCTACGGGAAACAATAATGTACATAATGCTTTCAGTT